TTTTAACCATGTTTTGAAATACTGTCAAGTATGGTATCAAAATTAATATTTATTTGAAAATAAATTATTTAATGAGTAAACTATTGAATTTTATATGTCTAGCAATGTTTTTTAATGTGAAATTGAGTGATATTAGATTAAAATAGTTTATGATATGGTGTTTGATGTTATTTTTAGGATTCTACTGATATGAGAATATATGGAAAAAAAATTTGTGTTGTATTTTGATTATAAAGCAGTACTAAAATTTCTACATGGTCAGAAAAGAAGTAGTAATAAATTGCACACGAGATGGTGACTTACCTTCAACAATTTATATTTAAAATCATGCATAAGAGAGGTTTAAAATAAGATTATTACTACTTTAAGTATAAAGGATACCTCATTAGTTATTTTGAGAGGAAAGATTAATAGATTTTATTGCTTGAAAAGCTTTTATGAGCATGATTAAGATTTTAGCCAGCCGTGAGAAAAGTGTTAGAAAACTCAGAACTTACTCATTAATTACTTTTGCATTCATGATATGAGGTTATCAACTTTGCATTCTTCATTTTTTATTGAAAGAAAAGGTAATTCTAGACTTGAAAGGATGAGTTTTGGCTAGTTACTTAACCGAGAGGAGACTATTGCCATTTTTAATTAGAGGCCCTACTAGCCTCTATTATAATAAGATATTTATAAATTTAAATGAAAAAAAGTAAGGGTGTTAAAAAAATCATCATATCTATAATATTTATATTATCTAACCCTACTTCATCTCTTAAAATCATATAATATAAATATTACATGTGATAGTATGTAAAAAAACCTAAGAAATAGATATCATAAGTTAGGTGATAGGTTGAAATTTTTGAAACTTGAGTAACCTAGCCCACCTGTATACTTTATATTACTTTTTTTATATATAGTTTATGGATTGAGCTTTTATTTTTATTTTATTTAGAAATATTTCAACTCTAAATTTTTGTTAGTAGGTTTTCTTTTAGATTTCATTAACATAACAAAAAAAGGCTTGTTTTTCTTATCAAAACAGAAAGTAGATATGTAATTAGAATTTAATAATGATGCGAGATATGAAAACTATACCTAATATTAGGGGTGCAATAACACCTATATTCCAATAGATAAAGAGAAAAATAAAGTCACTAAATTCAACACTTAGCAATATGATTCAGATTATATGTGATGTTAAACCAAAAACAGAAATTGAGACACTATCTCACCAAAATATTCAAGAAATGAGATAGGGTGATGCATGATTTGTATGCAATAATGCCAAAATACAGTGCAATAAATAAAGCACCATTTGAATTTTTATATATGCAATGTGCTACGTAATTGATCCTGTACCAATTTCAAAGAGGGTTATAATATTGTTGCAGATCGAACAGATGGTAGCAGATGCATAAGATCAAATTCATGTATACTTTGCACACGATAATGGGATATTGTTGCGCTTGCATGTGTAGATATCATACATAATAATGCCAAACACAGTTCAATAAATAAAGCATCATTTCAAGATTATGTATATACAGTGTCCTAGCCATGCACTTGATTAATCTTGTACTAAGCACTGGGATGTTGCACTTGCATATATAAAATTCACAAAATGCAATAGATAAAGCATAATTATTAGCAAACCAATGCTAGATATAATAAGACTACTGATAAACACTATCTCACCAAAATATTCAAGAAATGAGATAGGGTGATGCATGATTTGTATGCAATAATGCCAAAATACAGTGCAATAAATAAAGCACCATTTGAATTTTTATATATGCAATGTGCTACGTAATTGATCCTGTACCAATTTCAAAGAGGGTTATAATATTGTTGCAGATCGAACAGATGGTAGCAGATGCATAAGATCAAATTCATGTATACTTTGCACACGATAATGGGATATTGTTGCGCTTGCATGTGTAGATATCATACATAATAATGCCAAACACAGTTCAATAAATAAAGCATCATTTCAAGATTATGTATATACAGTGTCCTAGCCATGCACTTGATTAATCTTGTACTAGTTCCGAAAGGCAATTGTTATGTCACATAGAACATTCACTTACTTTACAAGCAAATACGAGACATATATTACAGCAAGCCAATACCATGTGCAAAGAGACCATCGATAAACATTGTTTGTTTCCATGTGTTCGAGAAAACAGATACGATGATGGTGTCTCCGTACAAGAAAAGAAGCTACACCATAAGGGATATGGACTTCGCAACATTTCAGTAATAATGTTTATATTGTTAATTTTCCAAATAATATTTATATTTCAAAGGCTTTCAATTTTTAAGATATTTATTCTTATGGTGATGATAAGCAGCAACTAGATGTCTGGTAGGTGTATTTATAGATCAAATGTCCATATCCAATAAGAAATCCAGACGAGTTTTAGATCAAATGCCCATATCCAATAAGAAATCCAGACGAGTTTGGTGATGAAAAGAGCAAAATTTGAATTTGACTGTAAAATCAAGCTGGAAGTTTACAAGCCTAGTTGTGTAAGGGACCATCGTGATGTAATTGGTTGTCATTTTGTGCCCATATTAGATCCAAAGTATATTCTTTTAGATTTTTTTTTATTCCTTTTCTAATTAGTTTAACTATAACGTTAGGAGTTGTAAAATCCTCATTTCTTCATTTTTGTTATACGCATAATTAACTTTATTAAACGGCAAGATTGACATCCAATGCCCATCGATTGAATGAAAGTGAGTTAATCTATAGTACTCGTTAGTGTAAAGATTTTCTAGTAGAGAGATATAAAATTATTAGATATTTATAAACTATTATTCCTTTGAAATATATTATGATAACTATCTAGTTATATAGGTATCGCGTTATTATATATAGATCTAGAAATATATAATAATCTCTCAAAAAGTTTACTTCAATATTTAATTTTAAAAAATAATATACTTTCTGAAAATAGCATCTTATAGTTTCAAACTGCAATAAAATCAGAGGAATAAATGTGTTAATACAATTTTTGTATTTATTAATATAAATAATTCTTGATTTATTTAACTAAATATATGCATAATATTTTTTATTATGATTTTTTAAAAAAAATATTGAAAAATCTAACATATTTTTTTTTTTTATCAAAATAAATTATTTGACTTGGAATGAAACGCCGGTCAAATACCTCGTATAAGTTAAAATTCTTAGGTTAAATTTTAAAAAAAACTGACTTTTAATTAAAGCAAAACTTGACTCAATTCTGTAACAAATTCTTAATTAAAATTTAAAGTTATTTCCAATCAAATGATTTTTTAAAATAAAAAATTGTACGTTGGTTTTTGTTTTCTGGGTAGATTGTACGTTGCCTTACAATCAGATCACTCCATTATTGAAGCTTTATGAATCTTACTGGCCCAATCTCACGGGGAACAAGAATAAAGCACAACATTATGAATCTTACTGGCCCAAACTGGATCTCACGGGGAACAAGAATAAAGCACAAGAAATGGATTTGTGCAAGGCAATTTCTATATCTACTTAAAAATTATAATATGCTGCAGTGTATTCAAGTTTACAAGATAAAGTATACGATGCATTCAGTAAAATAAATCAACATTTCGTAATCGTTAAGAGAAAGTTTTGATACAATATAAATAGTATTTTTTTTCCTTTTTTTAAGATAAAATATATATTTTCTGTCGAGATTATGCTATACCATTTGTAACGGAATATTCAGGCTTTTATAAGCTCTAACACAACAAATTAATGGATGTGCTTACGGATTCATACCCATTAACGTGGCTTGTTATACAAGTTTAATATTAATTCTTTTTCCTTATAAGGCAGGACAGTTTTTTTTGGACGAAAGTTGAAATTTATTCGCAATTCTTGTCGATAATTAATCATGTTGTAAACACAATCAGAAAATTGATTTACAACCACGGAATATTTTTTCAACGTAAAAGCTATATTTTTATTGGTATAAATAATTTATTGATGGAAATTATGCATCACCAGTGAGTGTCTTATTGGTAATTTTAAAACCATCAATAATTTAATTGGTAATTTAAATATTGATAAATAAACTGATAAAATATTAATTTTAATAATAAAAATAAATGTTGGTCAAGTATATACTTGAAACAACATCAAATAAGATTGTAATTAATTCTAAATTAATTTTGAATAAAATCTTTAATAAATTAGGATAATGTTTAGTTGTTTTTTTAAGATATAATTAAAATTATTTTATTAAAATCTTTTTAATAACACCAAGTGTATTAAAAATAAAACTTTAATATACCTCTACTAATTCAATCTTTCTTAATCATTTTGTCTTCATCAAACTTTAAATTGACCTTCTAAACATATTAATTAAATACAGAGATAATTATTGAAACAATCATTATCTGAATAACGATTAGCTTCCACTGCTATTCCCAAGAACCAATACCTCTTAAATCATTGGAAAGACGAGCTCCTCGTCATATAAAAAGGAACAGTTTATCAAACAAATACACGGGTCATCTACTCTGCTTTTGATTTGTATCCCTCAGTCCTCTTCATCCATGAAAAGGTTCCCTTCATCGATTATTATTTGAAAAGCACCTAAATTAGTATCGAGTAAGACAAGGGAAAGTAGTGAAGAACTACAAATATAATTGCTAGGTATTGAGGTTGTATTTTTTAGTTAAAATTTATTTTTTAAAATTTTTTTATATAGTAATTTTAGAATATTTTGATACGCTCCTGTTAAAAATAAATTTTAATAAATTAAAAAAATATTTTAATATATATTCTTAAATAAAAAAACACTTTCAAATTAACTCCTAACATGCTCCAAGCACCCCTAATTTGTTACTTGTAACAACTGATGTTACCCAGGCTTTGCAGCAACCAATTGTGGAGCACGGGAGTATGCAACAAGAAATCCTTGAATGCCCTAATAAGAAAACAAGAGGCCGAACTATAACCACAAGAAGCCTCTCTTTATTAGCAACAAGGGGAAGCTGTAAAATCCATTCAAAACTCAAAATATAATCATAAAACAAAACTGCTACTATAAACAACAGTAGATGCCAAACTCTCTCTTACAATACCCAGTTTGGTACTCTGCCAAGAGACAGCCCTAAAATTGCCTTGATACAAAAACAACGGCCACAATAGGACGACCATATTAAGAATTCTTTTTACCTGAACTAGAACAAGCTCCAAAAATCCTACAAAAAAAAGACAGTAAATAGAGATAGCATACTTAGATAGCAACTACCATTTACATTTTGCACTAAGAAAACATCCAGAGATACAATGAGCAAATGTTTCTCCAAATTAATAATCATCCGTCCCTAATTCAGATTGGTAACAGAAATGATACTTAATTAGCAAGAACCTCCCAAATTAACTCAGGATCATAAGATGGCATTCTTGCAAGCGAACAGCCTTCGAATTCCGAATCTTGTGGCACCATTACAGTACAATCTGTAGACAAAGAAGGAGAAGAACTCTCACACTTCCAAAGCCCCTCTTCAGAAACAGACGGCGACACCAATTCACTACAACCCCAATTATTGCCCGAAAGAAAAGGCGGCGGCGGCTGCGACGAGGACGACGACGGTGATGGTGTTGATGAATTTGAATCTACCTTCACTGGTTTTTGACTTTCTGTGCTTTTACCATCAACAGTACTCTTGTTTCCTGCATTCTTTTTAGCCCTCTCTTTTTTAACCTTCTGACAAATTGCCTGAATCTTGGCATCTACGGTACTCTTCAAAACATCCAATCTTGTACAATCTTTAAATCCTAGCTCAGTAGGATCTTTTAGATTTGGAAAATTCAATCTTGCATATTCACCTCTAAGTTTATAAGCTGCACGATCATAAGCAAAAGCTGCAGCTTCTGCTGTGTCATAGGTACCTAACCAGACTCTCATTCTGTTTTGAGGGAGTCTAATTTCAGCAACCCATTTGCCCCAATGCCTCTGCCTGACTCCTCTGTATAGTTTCTTCTTGGTCGGAGCCAAATAATTTCTAGTGTGCACAGGGTTTTGAAGAGGGTTTGCTAGCCAATTGTGAGAAAAGGAAGTGTTTGTTCTGTTTTCTTCACTGAATTTTTGTAATAGATCTCTCTGGTGGAGATAGACTGATGAGCCTAAAGGCTCAAAAGCTGGAGTAGTAAGAGTACTTGCTGCTTGGCAATACGAGAAAACTGAATCCAAAGTGTTGGTCCCTCCTGCCAATATAAGTTGTGACAGTGAGGAACCAATATCAATTGTGTTGTTAAATGCAAAAGAAAAGTTGTTTTCTTGCATTCTTTCCATGATTATCTGAAACTTTTGGAACGGAAAACAGAGGAAACAGGGAGAAAATAAAAGGGAAGTAAAATGGGCACTAAAAACCGTCCCTTTTCCTTCAAAATATTAGTTTTCAAAAGAAAAATGAGATCCTAGTAAAAAAGAAACGGTCTTGCTAGAAAACAATGAAGGGGTTTTGAGAGATGAAGAGAAAGCTTAAGGCTTGAGCTATAATGGGCAAACGGAATAATAAAGTGTTTGATGAAGAGCAGATTGGCGATGGTGAAACGAAAGTAATTTGGCTTTGAGAGAAGAAGATGTCGTCGGAATTTTTTGGGGGAAGTATTTCAAAGAAGATTTTTGGGTTAGGGTGGCTTGTGTTTGGGTACTAGTTGGTGTATTTATAGCTGCAGAGCAAGTTGAGGACTTTCCGTGGCCTTGCCGTATTTTACAGCTATGAAATTCCTCGTCTTTTGAAATTTTAGTCCAAGTAAAGGTTGGCCTCTGCCGTAATGACAATAATGCACTCATGGTGTTAACAAAAACTAATGGTTGGCTTCTTTTTTCTTTTTATTTTTTCATTTAATCCTTCTATATTTATTTTATTCATGATTGATAAATGTACTGTATTTTTTTTTTTCGATAGATCAAAACTCTAGGGACTATAAATGATGAATGGAAAAAAATTAATTTATTTAATTTTTTTTTATTTTAGCCCCTAAATATAAGAACCGATCAGTTGAGTTACGAGTTTCATTTCACATGAGTTTAAGTTAATTTTTTTAAAATTTAGTCCATAATTCTCCAAAGAAGCTTTGATATAAGCTCGAATTCCATCTGATCCAAGCTTAATCTATCATTTGACTTGGACTCGATTATGCATAATATTGTTCGGGTTTTTAATTTTTTGAGAGACCAAAAGTCAAGGGACTATAAATGACAAATGGAAAAAATAATCCCTTAAAGGAAAAAACAACTGAAGGCTGTAGAATTTAAGGGGAGAAAAGAAAAAAAATAATAAGAAAAGAAATGGAAAGAAAACTTATTATTGGCACCACCACTATGAGAAAAAAAAGTGCCACGCATTGTTACTATTATTTCCATGAACTGAGTCGTGATTTTTATATATAAATTGGGATTGACCATGAATAATTTGTCATGTCTCTGCCATAAAATAAAAATAATAAAATATGTAATGTTAATTTATTATTAAAATCAATCCATATTTTTATGGATTATTTTGATTGTCTATAGCCCTAAAAATTGACTTGACACGTTGTTACAGCTCCCATACAGTTAATTTGATGCTCAATCTATGCAAATAATTGGATTAGAATGTTTAAAAATTGATCTATTAAGTTGATTTTAATGATATCATCATAGAATTTCTCATGATTTGATTATTTTGTTGCATCTAAGTAACACAATGCCGCTTAAGCTTTTTGTTCTTGGGTTATTCATTACTCATGTCAGGCTACTACCAGTTTATTTTTGTATATTATGAATTTACACCTAATATTTACAAAAATAAGCTCACAATGATGTTATTTACACTTCAGAATCCATATATGCAGTGAAGTGGGCACCGAATTGGGGTGTTTTGGAATGTGTGAATTGTATTTTCAAAATTTTTTAAATTATTTTATTTAAGATTGATTTTTTAATATTTTCAGATGATTTTAGTATACTAATATCAAGAATAATTTTAAAAAAATAAAAATAATTTTATTTTAATATATTTCTAAATAAAAAATATTTTGAACTGTTATTAACACTACAATCCCAAGCCCTAAGATACCCTTATATGTATATATAATCTTCACTCATGTAAGTTCTCCCCAAACTCCACTGGTTAGCTTATTGATTTACGGTATGTTTAGTGTTGGGGGTCTCTTGTTCTCAGAGCACGAGAAAAGAAAAGAAACGAAAAGAAAAGTATAAGAGGAGTGTTTGACAATAGTTAATCTCTGGTCAATCCGTCTCAGAACATGTAATTATTAATTTTTCAAAAAACTACTTGACAATAGGATATATCTTAATCTCAAATTTCTGTTAATTAAACAACAATTTGAGGTACAATTAGAGGAAACATAGCTAAACAAAATACTTACTCGATTCATTGTTTTTTTACATTTGATATCCACAATGAAAGTACAGTTTTTAAAAAGCTAACGTTAATATTAATGAAATCTAGGCTTTTAAGTTTTAACTATCTCAAGCAAATACAAGGTAGTAAATAAACAAGGACTTATGTGTCAAAAGCACATGAAGTTACTCTAGATCGCCACTGGAGATTTTGTGGTGCGGCTTAAAAATACTTTCTATTTAAATGTAGTCCCGGATATATCTTGAAAATATTTTTCAATAATAATTTTTTATTTTTAAATTTTAGTACATTAAAATTATTTAAAACATATGAAAATTATTAGTTTAATATTTTTTTGAATAAATAACAATTTTAAAAACAGAATAAAATTCAAAATCACATATGATCTCATAAGATTTCTCCAGGCTACAACCCTATTATGTGCCTATGGGAGGTAGAAATTGATTGTTGAAATGCTTTTTACTTAAAATTATATTAAAATAATTTATTTTTTAATTTATTTTTAATACTAACCTATAAAAACAATTTAAAAATAAAAATAAATTCAAAACTAATAAAAATTCAAAATCTTTCCGTTCTATTTATTACACAGAAGTCAGAGCTACCTGTGTGTTTAAAAAGTCTTACACATTTAAAGCCTTCTCTGCCACGCGTCTTGGCTTTTGGCAGTGCGAGGACATTTTGCTTTTCCGTTTCTTCTCGTGCCGGATAAATTGTCCTTAATTTTTTTCTGCCTTTCTTTATATTCCAGGGGACACTCTGCACTCCTATCCGAAGCTGCACTTCAAGCTCTGCTCGGCTATGTAGCCGGCTAAGCTCTCTCTCTCTCTCTCTCTCTCAACATGTTAGGAAGTAAAAGAAAAAAAATGAATTAAATGTTTGGAGAAGTTAAAAAAGAACGATCTTTTGGTCTCGTTTTGCCTATCATGATTCTATTTTTTAGTTATCAACTTAAATATAAAGCATGTGAGTAGAATTCTCGTAAATTCCTTGAATTGTTTTTATTTAAAGTGGTCAGTATATGTTTGATTTGATTAGAGAATTAAATTTATTTAATTTTATATGTAAAACTAGCATAAAATAGCACATATCACAAAATGAGAGCCATGATGTATGATTCTAGTGTTGTAAGTGATTGGAATTTATTAAATTATTATTAGAATATCATATTGATATAAGGGATGCTCGAAAGAAAATAGTCTCAGTTAATTTACAATCTGGTTTAAGAATAACTTCATTTCAAATAAAAGAATTATTAAAAGCATTTATAATTCATGCTCTGAATGGAGATTTTCTTTTTTCCTCTTAAATAGCACCGCAGCAAAAATAATTAATAAACCAGTTGAGAAAAAAAATAGAAAAATTTAAATGGTACTGTTGTAGAACCAATACACAATATATTTCACTACTAGTAGCGCAACGCAACCTTTATATATATATATAACATTCATTACCTTGAATGTTTAGTAGCGCAATCTTTAAAGAGGTTCTGCTACTAAGAGTAGCATAGCTTTTAAAAATATAAAATAAATAAATATAAAGATTATGCTGCTTGGTAAGCAAATTTTGAGACAAATGAATAAAATACCCAATCTTTATTTTTATTTTTTTAATTTTTAAGAGATGCACTACTCCTAGCAGTATAGAATTAAACAAATGAAAGTAGCACAATTTATTGAGTTTTAATTGATTGTGCTACTTAGCGCGCGCTGTGATATTTATTTTTCTTAGTTGTAATAACTTATTAATTATTTTTGTTTTTTAGTGGATCTACAAGGAATTTAAAAACTTAATGTTTAAATATGTATTTGATAATATGGTGTAACATGCTTTTTAAAAATGTATTTTTAGTTATAAATGCACTACAATAATTTGTTTTATTTGATTTATGTTTTATATCAGCATATTAAAGTTATCAAAAAAATATTTAAAAATATTAATTTAATATTTTAAATATTTTTTTAAATAAATAAATTAAACTACAAAGACAAACACTCATCAAGAGTTCACAATATCTTGTATAGAGCTAGCACATGCTACCCTCTTTTCCCTTTGTCTCTCCTCGTGTGCAACTTTTGTTAATAACTACATATGTTGTATGTGTTTCAACACGGCCAAGAAAATGTTTTTACATAAAAAAAGTGTTAGGCTAAAAAAAATTAAATTTTGAGTCATTAATTCAAGTGATAAAAAAACAACAACAACAATAAATAAATAAATAAATAAATAATAAATAATATAAAAAAACAACAACAATAATAAATAAACAAAAAAAAATAAAAAAAAATAAAAAGAATTATATATGAGTCTATATGGATTATATGTCAAACAACCCAATACTAATATAGTAGAAGGAAAACCATAAAAAAAGAAAAAGTAAGATTCCAAAAAAAGAAGAAAAAACATCAGTTTTGAAAAAAACTAAAAAAAACCAAGTGAATCTTTTAAACTTGGTTTAATTTTAAAAACTTATAACTCACTGAATTATGGACCAAACAAAATAATCAACTTAATTGTTGTAAATAATGATAAAATTTGAGAGAAAAACAATAGTTAAGGAGGTTGAAATTTGAAAAAAAAAATACAAATAAAAGAAATAGAAATTAAAATAATGAGTGTCAAATTTGAAAGATTAAAAAATCATAGAGAATGAAATTAAAAAAATATTTTTAATTTGATAGATTATTTACATAATAAAGGTGAAACTGAAAATAATTATAGAGGGTTCATTTAATAGAATCAAGTCCAAAAAATAAAAAAAAATAAAAAAAAACTAGACGAAAAAAGAAAAAAACTATATGAACCACTTAAACATAGTCTAATCTCTAAAATTTATAACTTGTGAAATTTTAGACATGAGTTCAATAAAGAAACTTAACTATTAACAAATTTAATTTTGAAATATGAAATCACATAAAAATACTAATAAAAAAACTTGCAAAAAAATAGCTAAAAAAGAATGGGGATAAAATTTAACAGAAAAAACCAGAGGATAATAAAATTTTAAAAATAAAATAAAAATAATCATAAATAAAATAAACTACAATTAACAATGATCTCAATATTAAATCATGTTTAAATTGATCAGGATTTTTTTTTTATAAGGATATGATACCCACGTTATTAATTCATACCTCATTAATTAATACGTTATAAAAGATATCTACAATCAATATTAATATTAGATATAAAAAAGGAAAAAATTTATAATAAAAACACAAAGAAACATTTAAGGTTATATATAGAATGCCATATTTTGAGGCTTTCAGTGAGAAAGATATCTACAACC